GCAGTAAGGTTGTAATGCTAGTTGAATTTGTTATTTTCCATAACTGCAGATCTAGGGCTCCAAATGAAGTGAAATTTTTGTGGCATGCTACTCATATGATAGTTGATGTGTGGTCAAAATTTCATGGTCATTGGTTGCTGCATGAGTGAGTTATTGGTTTATCTTGCACTCAACATGATTTCTTGCTTTAGCAACTTGTCTTTTTCATAGAGGTTGCTATACATATTCAAATGGAGTGAAATTTGTACAGTAGATTATTGAGAGGATATGTGAGCCACTGTATTTTTTGTAGAATTTATTGTATACTTTTGGTATATGTTCATTAAGTCGCCTTGTTATCTAAAATAAATTAAGAAATGCATTAAAATAATTTATTTGGTCATGGACACTAGGTTTTCTGGTGTTCTTTAGTCATGTGTGACATGTTGGTAAAGTTGGTTTTGCCTAATTATGTGTTTGCAACATAAGTTAATATTTATTTTCTTGCAAATGTGGTTTATGCACAGATCTGGGAACCTAGCAAAGTTCTTCATGATAATGTGCTTTGTTGTGAAACTTATTTATACAAAAGTTGTAGATAATTCATGTATCTAGCTGCTATTAAAATTTGGTGGTATTTGGCCTTATAGTTTGTGAGTTATGCCTGTTTAAAGTCAGAAATGGCTGCTCTCTCTCAATTGTGGACCAGTTTCTGTAAATGGGTATATTTGACTTAGTTAACTTGAGAATCATGCTAAGATGATTATAGATGAAATGTAAATAATTTCATAAGCTTTCCAAAATGTCTTCTTGAAAGTCATTTGGATTTGTGTAACTCTAGTTATAGCTAAATCTTGTAGCTGCTGTTTGCATGTCTAGAAATTGGCAGATTCCAATTATAGTGTTTGCTTGTATATTGTTAAGTGTGACTTATGCCTTGAATGATGACTGAGTTAGAGCACTTGAGATCTTGGGAAACTTGTGTCATGCTTGGTGTTGTCGTCTTTGTTGCCATCTTAGCATGATAGATTGTGTGATGTTTAAGTTAAGCATCGCAAAGTACTTAAGTGTGTTAGTGTAAACTATGCTTGTCTTGCTTGCTATTTTGTGATGCGTCTCAGGGTACTATTCTTCATATTTATACACATGCATCTTGCATCTCATTTAGGTACGCTAGATGAACCACGTGAAGGATGTGAGATGGAGTCAAACTCGAAGATTTGGTTTGGTGGATATATCCCGAAGATGGAAGGACTAAGCAAGTGCCAGGATCGGAGATGTCACCAAGACGGTGCAAGCTAACCGAATTGACTTGTGTCGGATCCCAGGCAAGCCCCGGAGCATTCTAAGTCTCCCATGTTTTTATAAATATCTTGAGTATCTTTTATTGTTGATGGTGCATTAAGTATAGAAATTGGTTGAAACCAATTGTTGCATTATATCCTTACCTTGTCCAGATAAAATCCTGTGAATCCTAATTAAGTGTAGGATCGAATGATGCTTAGCTATGCATAGACCGGTAGAAGTCGGGTGATTTCCTGTCACCTGCGAGATGTAGGATGAGCTCTGGTCACGGTTGGCTATATTTGCTATCATAAAAAAGAACCATGTGTTAATAATGAAAGGAGACCGGACGGGATGATGGTAGTGCAGCAACAAGGCATGGAGGTCTTGGGTGTGAATCTATCCCCGTCTGTGTCGTTTAAGGACCGATACGCTGTACGTCCTCATGTCATGTTGAACGCAGCCTAACACTTAGCTGGCCGGATAAGTCGTTCCGACCATGAAGCCTAGTAGCTCGACTCAGGCCGGGGATGCGAGCAGTGGCGTGCATTCTGGAGGTAGTAAGGATGTGCGGAGAGCCATTGGCATAAGTCCAAGGCAGGTTAGAGTCCTGAACAACCTTGGCAGAGTGGTTCTCTAAGAATGTCGATCTGTTCGGACTCGCGACTCCTGAATCGTACCAAAGGTGACTCGTTGGCGACCCTGACGGGGGAAGTAGGGTTTGTGTTTAGGAATACCCCTCCAGCTGGATAGGAATCAATTCGAATCGCCGTCTCTCCCGGATAGTGAGAACTTGACTGAGCAGCGGCAACATAGATTCACTAAATTTAAAGATATGGTTAAATGATGATGATGATGATGATGATGATGATAATGACAATGAGCTATGAAATACCTGATATGGTTATTATTGTTTGCAATTTAATCAAGTGGTTGATTAGTACAGGTGCTAATATAGATGGTAGGTAATGGCTAAAAGTCATTGCTAGTACAGGTGAATAATGCTAATGGTTACTCAAGCTTTTATGCAAAAAGGTTGTCCAGCCAGATCCACTAAATTAAGCTATGCATGATCCTTGGTGTCATTTGTTTTGGTTTTTGACGGGTAAGTCTGGCTGAGTACATTCGTGTACTCAGGGTTTATCCCACCATGTTGCAGGTGGAGTTCTCGGCCTGTTGAAGATGGTGGCTAACCACCGATGGGCTCGGTGATTCTATAGTTACTTCTCATCTATATGCTTTTGTCGGATGATGTCACTTATGCTAGCAACATATTTGGAACTTATATTAATGTAATCATTTGAAAGCTATGTTGTTTTCACTAAGCGGTTTTGAAACCCAAACTTGTACTTTTATTTGTGAACCCATATGTAATATTATTTCCGCTGCAACCCTGTGTATGTGATGTGTATTTGCTTAATCACGCGATCTTGGTTGTGATGTTGATTTACCGAGGTCTTTCGGGACACTCGGCAGACTACCGGGTTTATATAAGTGAAAGTATGTGTGTGTCAACGTGTTAGCGGGGACAGCAGTACTTGATCTTGTATAAATTGGGCGGTTCTGTTACACTCTTCATGAGTAGTACCTCACCCCGCTTGGTGGTCGGTATGTGCGATAATGGCTGAGCGGCAATCCGCCTGCTCCTAAGTGGCAGGGGGCACTTTGTTACCGCCTTCTGCCTTGGACGACTGGTGATCAATGGTGACATTCTCTTGCACTGCACCTCCTCGGTGAACCTTGCGAGATGTCGAGCAGCCTCACGTGGCGTGGGTGTTGCGTCGTTGGGGGTGCGTGTGCCCACTGTGAACGCATCTTCGACATCGAGTTGTCCCACCCGAGGCGGTGTGAGCCATGGCAACTCCTGCACCAGCTACAACTGAGGCGAGTGAGCAGCCGTCGCCGGATATCAGGTATCCATCAACGATTCCTCAATCCCCAGAGGGGCGGCCTCCAGAGAAGGTTGGCACCCGGGCACCGGCTCTCTCGCTGGTCGGCTCACGACGAGCGAGGCAGTGAGCTTCTCCAACATCGGGTCGACCAAGACGACCCATGCGGGAGGCCCCGCGCTCGCGCATAGCGCCAACGCCAGCGGATCTGGCTCAAAGAAGTAGAGTGTAGCAGCAGAAGTAGCTATGTTATTGGCGTGGTCGGCAGGCACACCCGTGCCGATGTCCTTCTTCGGCTTAGTCCAGCGTCGTCGCCGACGTCATCGTCATCTGCCGCCGGCGCCCCCCACGGCCCCCGGTGCAGAACTCTCCAAACTCGGTGAACCGTCGTGCGGCGCGTGCTGGGAGGCCAGGGGATCACCATGAGCAGAGTGCCGTGGTAGGATGGCACCGTTCATCGCCGACGTCGAAGCAGGCCTGGGCTACTTGCAGTCCTTGGCAAGGTGTCGGAAACCGTGGCAGCACAGACAACGCCGTGGCAACCGGCAAGTCGCTACTCAGTGCGAATAGGAGAGACAGTTGAAACATCTTTCTCGAAACTCTGCCTGGATCCTCCGGGCCTTTGGGAGCTGCTTTGGATGAGGCTCTACCGAGGTGGCCATCAAACGCATCTCCTGCCGGGGAGGATGTCCCGCCACCCATCGGCGTTTGGGGCAGAGACCCAACTATAGTGGCCAAGGCGTTGGCGTGTAGGGACGTGGCCCTCCACTGGCCAAGTAGGCAGGCAGTGCACCTGCTGGGGGTGCGACCGGCTGTGTTTCTGCCGTCTTCACCTAGGTCCCTGCCGTCCAGTGTCTACTCCACCACGGCCCAGAACCAGGACAGTCGCGGCGCGTCGGGGGACACAGTGACAGGCTTCGCTGGGCGACGAGTGACTTCCAGTTAGGTTGTGGGGTGGTCATCGTCGGATTCCTCGTCGTCGTCGTCCTCCCACCTTCGGCGCTTCATGCGCCCTTCCGAGAAGGCCGGAAAGAACGAAGTCACGGTCGGCGAAAGGGAGGACAAGCTGGGGGAGGTCAGTGTCGCCATGGCGGCCTAGCTTGGCCGATGGGCGTCCATGGGCCCGAAAGGCCCGGATTTGGGCCTAGAAGGCATGGATGTGAGCACGTCGTCAACGGCGGCGGTGGCAGCTCCCTCCGCGCGGTCGATGGCATTGATGGCCGGTGGGCGCCCTAGACGTCGCGGCGGCGGCTGGCTCCGGTGGTGGGGGCACGCCAGATCCGGGCCCTGTGCCAGGCTATGGGGTGGCCGCGGCAGCGGCGCCGCTGGCAGCCCCCGGCGGCGTGAGGCGAGGGGGCACTGGCGGTGGAGGCAACCTCCATGGCACCCGGCGGGGAAGGCCTTGGCAGCGGCAGCGGCGTCCGCCCGACGTGCGGCGTAGCCCCGCAGCCCGCGTGCTCGGGTGGTCCCGCAGGCCCAGACGTGCGAGGGGGAGGCAGGGAGGTGAGGGGAGAGGGTGGAGGGAGAGGCCGGTGGCGGTGGCGGGGAGAGAGCCCGGGCCCCTAGGGATGGGGGAGAGCTCGACTCCCTAGTCTTTGGATCTTCAAAGTGATAAACATAGCATAAATATACCAGTATTGGTCACAATAACTGCTACACAGCTGAACACAAAAGACAAAATAAAATGATCTCTATGACAAACACTTTGTTTCCTGGAACCGCAACTAAAAATTGAACATATATATTTATTGGCCATGAGAAACTATTCTTTTCTTACTCAGCCATCCTACAGCAGCAGGATCATGGATAGATGGATCATTGCATCTTCATGGCGGTGATAGTTCGCCCTTAGGAAGATCTGAAAAGATACATTCGAGTAAACTTATTACAACCATGCATTCTATAGTTTCACATCTACAAATATTTGATATATGTACCGCTAAATGATTATATGAAGGGGCTTGGTACTTCTACATCACATGGCCTAAAAGTTAATAGTAAATAATATGTCTTTAAGTTCTTATAAATATTTTGGTAATGTATCACCAAAATAGTTCAAAAATCTATACACCATTGAGCTACGATGACTTTTGTGAAATCTATACACCATCATTATGGAATTGCGATTGACCTTACATTCCTAATAGATCCATTATTGACAAGGCACGGCTCATATCTGTATATCTAAACCATGTTGTATTGCAAAGGCCAGCTTCAAGGATTATGGATAGGTGCACAAAGCTATTGCTCCAGTTTATCACTACTTGATGAAGTAAATGAACTTTTGGACATAACTATATAGCATACAATTTGTAAAATGGGCATGCAATGAAGCTACTATACCTTGGAGTGTAGAACCTCACGTAAGGTAATAAGATGGGGTCAAACCGGTCGCCCTCTCTTTCGCCAACCTTCCTCGCTTTCTTTGACTTGAGGTCGAGCGTGAAGATTCCAGTAGATATGTTAATGAAGATAGTGTTTGTGCCCTCCGCAAAGCCAACCACTTCATATGACTTGTATGGTATACGTCTTGGGAGCAACATCTCAAGCTCCATAACCCTATGTTCAACCCATTCACCAATGCCATTAGTAACATCTTGTTGTGTCCATATATGGATGCGATTGTTTGATAGGGCGGCAATGTTGGCCCACAGGATCACCGGCTCAGGTGAGTGAACCACTCACCGGTCTTGCCGAGCACCCGCTAGTGTTGCCGAGCACCCACTAGCCGTGCCGACCACGAACAAGCATTGTCCGTCCCCACACACTATGGCTGGAGCTAAAACAAGAAGGGAGAACAGAGCAAGCACACACAATATAAGACACCAGCGTTGGCCGAAGCCCTATCTGTGAGATGGCAAATCTGAACTCTGATTTACTGAGTTGCCGTGGTAGTCTATTTATATAACTCTATCCATCTAGTCCCAGTATAGCTGCCCTACTGCAACAGTGACTAGATAACATACAGGGCTGACTCTGCGCCGGCCACTGTATGTGCCTACAGTGCTGTAGGTGAGCCATGCGGCGCCTGCACCTGCAGTGGCTACAGTATCACAGTAGGGGGCCTTTCGGCGCCGCCTTCCCTTGCTATGTTCACACAAGGTAGCAGTAGATTATCTAACAATCTTCCCCTAATCCTACTGCTAACCCTTGTACCCCCTCCATACCGATCATCTCCTTCAGCTCCGTGAGTCAAAGACGTCCAAGCGGCTTGGTGAGGACGTCCGCGAGTTGCCGACCAGTTTCAACGAACTCGATGACGATCTGCCCTCCATCGACACAGTCCCTAAGGAAGTGGAACTTCATGTCGATGTGTTTACTCCGGTCGTGCAGAACTGGATTCTTCACGAGGGCGATGGTAGGCTGGTTGTCCACCATCAGTGCTGGTGGGTGAGCTTCCACGCCGGTCAGCTCGCCCAGCAGCCGACGTAGCCACACAACTTGGCACGCC